TTAATATGCCGAAGTTTGATAGATACAGGCACAATTTATGAGTATAAATTGCGACTTTGTCGAAATAAACACACCGTTTCAGTGTAATATCCTCAATTCTTTATATTCATCCAGAATTTTACAAGATATAGGTTTTGGACTATTACAGTAGAGAGTCCGGTTTGTGAATATTAAACGCTTTGTAACCTGTGTTAAAAAAACGAAATATATTAGCAGACGGCTCATTATCATAGCATCTCTATATTAAAAACAGTGCTGCCACAAAAACTTCCAACCACCGTGTGTTAACTCAAATGTAATGTTAAGCTGTACACAACAGTTGTTTAAAGTGACTCATCGCAGTCCTTGAACAGAATACGAGGGCTGCCCAACTGGCTAACCCTACGCATTCAACAAATTTAATGAAATTATTTTGAAATTTTGGCCCGCCTAACCTTTCAAAACTTTCGGACCACGACTTATAAAAATTCTTGATGCAAATATTTAAATATTAGATACATTGCCTTGTAGTTTTTTTTTGCATAACCAATGTTATCTTTATTTGCATATCGTGAGTATAAAATTCTTAGTATTCATCGTAACACCATTTCGTGTACGATTTTAACAGATGATATGAATTAACTGCTATATATATTGTTATCGTTTGTTGCCATGCACGAATATTAACGGAAACATGTATAATACAATTAGTTGAAACGTTATTCAAATTCTACTATAGATAAAGATTAATGCCTTTTACATGAAATACAAACATGTTTAAACATACTGCACTGCTGTGTAGACATTTACGGTAATTTAAATCAAATCATTACCCGTAACTAGTGTAATGTTTATTTTAGCTACTAAAACTACAAATGATTACATTTCAAGCACTTACTTTGGGCATTAACGGTGAATTAACCAAATTAGAATTGTGTTGTTTCATCGCTTACACAGAAAAATAGTCATCTATATATTAAAAAATAAAACGTTTTTTTAGTTAAATTTACTGAAACGGATTTCTCATCCAGCATTGGAAATCACCTAAGTTACACTCTTCTCAAGTTATACTTAAACACGTTTTTTTTAGTACATCCATACCAATTTTACAAATGCAAAAGTGTCTCTCTCTCGTTAGTTCTTCACGCTTAAACATTTCATCTAAAACCAATTTGGATGGAATTTGGTATAAGGAAGTCCGAGTACCGGGAAAGGACATAAGGTAGTTTTTATCCCAGAAATCATATTTTAAGGGGGTAAAAAGGGGGGTGGAATGGAAGCCACTATTAACCGTGACATCCGACATATACACGGGCGGGGCCGCGGGCAAAAGCTAGTTTCTTATGTTTTTTTCTATATCCCAGCCCTATTGCACGAAATATTGTAAAAATAGATGAAGGTAAAAACTATACATGAGGGTTAACATGTAGCCCTATAGGCTGGTTTGAGAATTATCCTACCACGATAATTATTTTTCAAACATCACCCCTGTATTCGGTTTTGTCTAGGTTTCAATCATATGAGGGCGATTCATGATGGTAATAAATAAAAATTATTAAACTACCACTACCTACACCAATACTACATGTTGAGGGCGCAATGGGAAATTTACAAAAACTTAAAACCTTAGCGGTAAAAAGTTAAATCTTATGATCTTTAGGATTACGGTTTCATCACCAAAAATTCTCACGACTAAGAAGCTAATTAAGGAAGTACCTAATAGGATGTCTCTTTTAAGTGTACAAAATGCACATCAACTTTATATTCGAGGGCCTAGAACTCATACGACCAAAGCCCATTCCTGTTCTTGATATTTTTATTACTAAACATCCTACAGGATTTAAAGAAATCATTAAAATGTTATGTGTGACATTTCACAGAATCCCAGACATCAATCTCGGATAAATGTTGTAGAAAATTAACGTTAACAAGAGCTGTGCACAATGGAACCTTTAGATAGCCGCAGTTATTTTCCACCACGTTAATTTTTTATACATGTCTGGAATGTTCTAGACTTCAAGAACACTAATAAAAACAAAAACCGTAAACCAGGCGCACTGCGTCATTAGAACAGGTCCTATGTATTTTTTTTTTTGATATATAAATACTACTAAGTGATATAACACCGGGAAAAGGGCAGGTAGATGATATCAAAACTACAGAAACAATATTGAACTGAGCACTTTCAGACTACATCAATGTCATTGCACGATTAGTTTTTTTGAAGTAAAACTTCTTTACGCACGCTTGACGTGGGGCGTAAGCTGGTGAATTCGTGGACGAGAGCGTTACGAAAAGTGTGATCGGGCGAGGCGAACGGAAGTTGAGAGGAAGATATAAGTTAGTGAATATAGAAAGAGAGAGTTACGTTTCGTATATTACTGTAGGGACAAGAGGTGTGAGCACACATTTTCTTTCTCTCATAGCCAAGAAGTTTTACTACAGTCGTGTGGTTTAAAGCACACTCGTTTTTTTTTTAACATTGAAATCTAGACATTCAAGAATATTATAGATTTACATATTATTGAACGCAGATCACTTCAGACTAGTCTGGCGTCAGACATGGGGATAAGGTCGTCGAAACTTCAAGCAAATATTTATATGTGTTTTGCCCTTGAAAGGACGGCGAGTCCTGAATTCATTGACCGAGAGTTTGCACAGACGCATTTAGATATACTTATACATAAATGGCTGAGACTTACGATTTTAAAAATTGATTCGGCAAACAATATGCTCAGAGTGTTATAGATGTATTAAGTTTTAAGGTTATTACGAGTCAAGGGCAGAACTCACCCAGGCAGGATTTTTAAGCGCGTCTATTTTGGGCAAGGCCATTACTGTATGACGGTATCCTCAATCGGCTCGTTAACCATGAAATTATTAAGCGATCAAAGCTAACAGCTCAGACAAAAAAAAAAACAAATAATAAAATAATTTAGTCGTTCGAGTTCAGAATGTGTGAATCGCATCAAACAAAGATCTTGATTTTGGCAGTTTTATCTTTCGACGCGTATATTACGGAAAATGATAGCAAAACTCGTTGGGCCGCAATTAACACCTATCTGATATAGGTACACCACAATCAGGAACGACACATCAATAGACCACTTAGCTGGCGAGTTTGGTAAGCTTTAATTTATCAGTGCATTGGAGCGAGATATCTACACACGCAACGTTACGTCAAATATCTAACAACATTACTAAAAACTTGCAGATAGTTGTCAAAACTTGTAATCTTTCAAGCTCCAATTACTTTATAACAATTCTTGGCATGTTGTGTTGATATTTTTATGTGAATTTGCCAACAGTATACGTCAGAAACTTTTCTGTTTAAACAAACTATAAAATGGTTTATGAGCAGTTCATCAAATTTAGTTTTTTTCTCGACTAATGCTCTGTAATCTGTATGAAAATGAATCAACTTTCACCTATTTTATTATCCAGAATGATTGCTTGGTCGATGAGTCACAACTGAATTTTTTCAAAAACATTTTATGGGGACGCGACATGAGTCATATCATAAGTGACTGAATATTGATTGGATGATATTGGGACAGAGCATAGAGAAACTGATTTCGATTTTGTAACTAATATGTAACGATTGAAGTAGAAAGGAACACGTGTTGCACATTTATAGAGTTTCCTGCTTAACAATTTATCGCAGGCAAAGGCATAAAATGTAAGCATTTATGACTTATGACTGATGGAATATTGCTCAGACAAAATTCTGGTACTATAAACTACTTGTAGCTCGCAATGTCGAAATATTCAAACGACGCTATATACCTATAGGACTAGAATAATATACAAGACAAAAATAAATTACTGATTTAAAATATACATCATTCATTACTCACCATCTAGTTGACACGGCGTAATACTTACCTTCTCTCCTAAAATTGTTGTTTGGTACTAATTGTCTCCAGTCAGAGGCACGGAGGGATAGGCACCTAGTGCTTTATTCTAATTTGTGGCAGTCTAAAATGAGTGAGAACATTAGTTTGGACCACTTCACTGATTGTATTTCGTTATTTTATTATCTTATACCTATGGTAAACGGACGCGTTCCCGAAGATAATCATTACCCTTGTAATTAAGGCGCGCGCCAGCACGCACCTACCTACGCTACGCTAATGGACTAACTCGAAGCCTTAAAAAGTATTAAAGATTTTTAAAGCTTACCATTAGCCTACAACGGTATAACATAATAAATTCATTTACAATATAACACGAGAATTTCAAAATTAGAAGGCCTGACTTGTGAATATGCCAAACATAATATTGGATAAGTAATTAATGACGATATATAAAACAATAACGGGAGCCATAAACCCTGAGGTAAAATAAACAAATAAAAACTTATTTTGGCTTTCTCACTACACAACATGCAATATTCAAGCGGTTTACATAGTCGACCTGCCGCCGACAGACATACACAATTAAATATTATGTACATGTTAAACTACTGCCACAAATAATTATATTATGTATATTATGTAAGTAAATAAGGACATGACAGGGTGGGGATAAGTATATAGAAAAAAAAAATAGAGAAATATACAATAAACTCTATTTAAACATGAAATTTATTAAAGATTAAAAAACATACATTGTTTTGTTTTACACAAAATAATAAAATACCTGGAGGGTTACAGACAGGCGCCGGGACGGGCATATGCAGAGGCGGGGAGCGCCCCAGCACCCACCGCAAACAGATATACATAGTGCGACAGGTCCATATATAGTCCAATAATATAATACCATATGATAAAAGTGTACATATATATGATACCGTCAAGCCAACTAAACTCACAAATAGTCATGTCGCGCTCTCGCGAATATAAAACTATGTTAAATCTTACAAAAATACTTATGTGACTAATTTGAAATGCACATATAGGATCTCGCTTTCCGTCTACAAAAATAATCTGAAATTGGAATGAAAAACTTTCTTAAGCATTCGGCCTGGGAACGATCACAAACTATACGGCGTTCACAACGTCCGTACACATATTTATTAGTTAATTATTTCTCTTCTGAGTCTTAAAGCTAACTGAGAGAACCTGTCCATTGAGCGTGTATCCATTGAGTGCCTGAATAGCCATAGCGGCCTCATCGTACTCACGCATGTTGACAAATGCAAAACCTTTGTTTTTCTTTGTCTCAGGATCTTTAATAACCTTAATGGAATCAATAGCTCCATAAGGACCGAAGAGTTGCCATAGAGCCAGCTCCTCAGTGTCCTCACCAATGTTGTATACATACACTGTGGTCTGGTGTGGAGCAGGTGCCGCTCCCAAGAGCGGCACTGGACTGGCAGGCGCGCCGAGCAGCGGCAGCGGTGTGTGGTTGGTGGCAGCCATTGGGTTGAACCTTTGCTGACCTTTATTGATGAAAGGTAAAGCCTTGCCCGGAGATGGTAGCAGTGGAGGGGGTGAGGCCTGTGGGAATCCCGGCGTGAATGCAGCAGGCCTTGTACCAAAAGCAGCACTGAGGTTGGTGCCGTTGAAGGCTGTAGGTGTGGTACCGTTGAACACTGCAGCCGCGCCGTTGTATGCAATGGGTGCAGCTCCTACTCCTACCCGAGGGGCAGGCCGCGGCGCATTTTTATTGGCATTCGGCTTGTTGGCAAACTTCACTACAATAGCTCCCGCGCCAGGGATTGGTGATTGTCCGTTCATATGTTTTATGGCTTCCTCAGCCTGCTGCCGGTTGTCAAAACACACGAACCCGATGCCTTGTGACACCCGACTGTTCGTTATCGAACCGAATTGACTGAACATAGTATTAAGACGCTCTAACGTCATGTCTGGAGGTAGATTGCTAATATAAAGATTAGATTCCGTGTCAGGCTTGTGGCTGACCTTGTTCTCTGGGTTGAGTAATGCAAATGATACTTTTAGAGTCTTGCCCTGCATGAGTAGACCGTTAAAAGCGGTCCGCGCCTTCTCAGCATCCTCGTGTTTTTCGTACTCGACGAAGCCATAGCCGCGATTAGCTATAAGTTTACAACTTTCAATCTTGCCCATAGCGGAGAAGAGAGCGTACATCATATCTCGTGTCATCAACTCAGGTATGTAATTGACCATGAGTTTGGTCGGTGACACATTGGTGGCGTCGCCGCCGCCATTCTCCATTTCGTTTTTTATCATTGTTCTTTTATTGTAAAAACTACACTACAGAAAACAAAATACTAATAAAACTCACACTATTAATTATTGTTTACTTCATTTGCGACATGTATTACGAACAAAGAACGAACACAAAAAGTCCCAGTCACACTAAAATGCCACAACGACGCCGGTTCACAAGTTCATCATCACACGAACGAGTTTTTTTTTGGAATGTTACCAGATTATATCTGCTCTTTTTATTTAGTAACTATAAAATGCAACTAACAGGCAAATTATTACATTTCATTGCTTTAATAGCAGATTTTTTTTCATCTTTATTAGTTTAATTATTAATTTGCACGTGTAACGTTATTTGGTACTGTCAAATAATTATTTTTGTGAATTTTTGAACGCGTGGCATAATTTTACTAGATAGTCTATGGTATTTGATTTAATGATTGTAATAAACTTTTACATGTTTATTTTTACAGTTAGAAATTTAATTTACTAGTTTTTAGTCTTGATATATATCCATTTATGTACTGCTAAAAGTCGATGTCTCCCGACGATACGTCGCAAGCTTTGCAATAAAATGTTGAATAGTCGATAGCTGACAACATCGATATTATTAGCCCAACATAACGTGCAATATTTGTTTAATTATAACACAATTTGTATACCTATATTCTACATATTTTGAGCTCATGCTAAATTTTTTTGGCTTAAATGTTACCATCAGACTATATTTTAAAAACAAATTTTTAGCAGAAAATAGTCTGTTAACTTTCTTGATTTTTTGGCTACAATTGATGCGTTGCTGTTGGTAGGGACAACATGCGAAAATAATTATAATAAGTGAATGAGTTTTTTTATTTACAAAATATAAAAAAACAATTAAAACAACAAACTTGAGCAACTTAAATATTTTAAAATATGTATATCCAAACTAGTATAAAATAAAATTTGCAAAAGAAACATTCGTAAGTTGATTTTTGAACGTAGCTTAAATACAACATAATGTACAACATATGTTTTTTAATCTGATAGACTAAAATAGGACTAAAATAACATTTGGTGGGTCGCCGCGTTATCATAACGTTAAAATAGTGTTGTATTCTGAACGATCAACTTTAGTTAGGGTGCTTCTACATGATGTAAGTAGCTTGCGCATGTTGAGGAACTTGCGCAGGTAATTTGTTTCGTAAAAAAGGATTATGCGGGTCGTGCAACTCGAGCATACACTATTTCTTTCTTTTTCTAATCATCAACAGCCTTTAATAGTTCACTGCTGGACATAGGCCTCTCCTTAGAAAGGAGGTTTTGGCCTACTATACCACGCTGGCCAGACGGGTTGGTATAGGGTTTGTGTCAAGATTTCCTTCTCTCTGCAGTGCTGTTGTCCTGCGTAGTTTGCTCACTTAGTTGCCTCTTACGACACCCACGAGATGAATAGGGGTGGTGACACTCCTATTCATCCCGTTACTTATTTTTGAGGTGTGAACCGCACGCTATCTCAGGTACCAGTAACCGGGGAACTCATTGTCGGTGTCGCACTGCCACCCCGGCCTACTTCTGTTAGCGTGACAGATGGCCTCACCTGTCACCTCCAGGCCTGCGATTATCGAGGTAAGAGGTCGCTCTGCGAACGCCGGCGCCTGGGTCATCTGCGGTACTAGCCGTTTGCAGTCCTAGTGGACCGGGAGAGTTCTAAACCTCTTTCAGTCCCGATCCGCCTTCTCCTTTAGGTGATCTCCGAAGTATCCTTTCCCGGTGATCACCTGTGTCAGCCACTAATACAGAGCGCAAGTGCTCTCGTCTCCAGGTCCTACGGTGGCGTTCCAGCCAGGAGATTCGTCGCCTCAAAGGAGATCGTGCGATCGTGCGGAATAAATTAGGATCCAGAAAAATATGTAGGACAGGGGTATAATGGATGTGCTACTATGTCAGGAAAAGATGGGATTTGTTCAGAAAATTTTAAAAGAAAGAATTCACAAAGCACCATGTTTTCATTGCGTTAGTCAGAAACTAAACTTAGTCAGGAATGACTTAAACCGATTAACAGTAATACGAAATGCTGTAGTGGTTTAAGCGCTCATTCTACTAAATATACCAATGTTCTGCGAAACCCGTTAGTCACAGGAATATAAAAGTAGGTATTGCTATTTTCAAAAGCATTTTGTAAAGATGGTCAGGGCACTCTTAACGCTGTCAAAAGACATTAACAACGCCAGAACAACCAGAAGTAGTGTTTTAGTTGCAATGCACAGCTACAAGTTCTAAATTAAATGTTAGTGTTGGCCTCATAGAAAAATATTCTGCATTATTGCACCGGTAGTAAATGCCCTGAAGTCGAAAAGTTCAATTTGCTTTAATGTGCAAATCATTTAAAAGAAAAACCGATACAGAAAACATTTCGAAACTGCCAATCACAAAAAGGAGGTAAATAGGTCATTTGATTCGTTTTTGTGCCTTTGAAAGTCATTCAAACTAAGTCGACTAGCCTATTATTTATTAATATCGAATTTTAGATTAGTGACTTTTTATTGCATGCCCACTGTCATCTGCTGTGTTGTCAGCCTAGTGGATTTTCCACTTAAACTGGTGGTTTCGACCCCCCTTTTAGTGGCGAAAATTTGCTTTTAGTGGCTAGTGGTTTTTTTTTGTAATTAGGAATAATAGTAAGATTAAAGATTACTTAGTAAATTCTGTACAAAGATCAACTATGAGAATTGTTTGTGTACAAAACTCAAGAACGGTTGATAGGAAAGGAAGGATGGGGATTAGATAGAAGTGCTCAGAAAGAGAAGTATTTTTAGTTTTAGGTCATGGGATGTTGTAGGTTTTGTGCCAGAGAGAGGAAAAGTTTTCAGAGTTGAGAAAGAAGTCAATAATGTGGGCTACAACTTCGAGGACGCAATCCAGGATGGTAACTATCATCCTAAGGCTTGCAAATTATTGCGTTTAAACTGACAGATAGGATGATCTTTTTGATGTCCCCAGAAGGCACAAGACAAAATTCAATGTTTACAATATTGTGTCTGGGCAGAATAGCGAAATGATTGAGAGTCCTACTCTATGTTTAATGATCTGGTAGAGTAGCGAAGAGTAATGAAGATTGATATCATTAAAACCAATGAAACTCGGTCCGTTGTTGTCTACCAAGGCGCAACGTTTTATGGAACTTTCACATACTGGAGGTATTGCTCTTCAAAGATGCCCAAGGGGCTAAGGGACTTCAACATTTAATGAAATAGTGACCTTGGCTATTACTCTTTTAATTCAGCCTCGTTTCATTGCGATATTGAGTCGAGTGACTACAGGTATAAGCAGGAATAGAATGAAGTTAAATCTTTTATCTGCTATGTTAAGAATACGTTGTGGTTTGAAGCTGGAAGGAGAACGCTGCATCAAATATGAAAGTCTAATAAAAGTTGTAAAACAAATCTGCACCAAAGACTCGTTTTAATCTGCAACCGACTAGAAAAAACGATTAGTATCAGCATTAAATTTGAATAATATTAAGGTTACTAGTTATTAAATTACTTATGGTTTTCTTTCGTAATTACTAAAAAAAAATGATTAGTGGTTTAGTTAGTGCCTATCAGAGTAGGGTCGTTTTCGTTATTGGTTTTCAGGTGGTTTTAGACTAATTTTAGATGTTAAATCTGGTGGAGAGTTTATTTAACTGTTGGCAGCATTGTATCTGCCAATGTCAAATGAATTGAAAGGAATTTTGTAAATTTAAACATTGGATAAGGTTACAGAACGTATTTATTTCTGATAATTAGTAAAGTTTAATTGAGATTAAAATATGTTTTTAACAAATATTTTGTTAAAAAAGGCGAAGAGCAAGTTTGTACACTACTATACCATTTTAAAATTTAAAAGTAAATCCCATTACCAGATCCCTCTTAAATTTGGTATATTTCAGGATGATAATGGTGCTAATGGAAAGTATGGTATCCGGACATCAATGTACAAAAATAAGGGAGCGTTTGGGTGATAAATTGGAACTAATACGATTCGATCCATATAGTGAGTAGAATCAGTTTTTTCAATAACCTCAAACTTATAATTATTTAGTTCATAGTGACATAAGCATAGAGTGAATAAGAGTCCCCAATCTCGCAGTATAGGCAACGAGAGAATTGGATAATAGATAGTTCCCTCTATCTCTTTCCAGTTGAGCTCTATGGTTGGCTAGGGAAATTTCTCCCGCCTGTTCTACGATCAAAGCCATGCCCACTTCACGAGAGCCAATCGCAGCTTACCTGATTAGAGATAGTGGGAAATATTGGGCATCCATCTCTCTCATTAATAATTTCACACATTTTACATACGGCCGTCCAATTATAAACTAGACAGAACATGTACTACGGTAACCAGATTGCTGATAAACATACTTATATATTTCTAAATACATACATATTTTAGATAAAGTACACCCAGACACAGAACAAATGACCGTGCTCATCACACAATTATTTGTCCTGGGTAGGAATCAAATCCACGACTTCTTGTGCTGCAGTCAGTCTGTTTATTCAGTGCGGATATTTTGTTACCGTTTTTCTTTCTTTTTCACTTGTCGGTGTTGATTGGTAATCTCAGAGTATACATACTCTTTTGATGTCAACTCTGATCTGTTTGGTTTATAATACATAAAGGTTTAAATTACTTTAAATTTGGAATGTCTGTTTTATTTGTTCAGACTGAATTGTCATATTCTTGGTATTCTGTAAAAATAGCTTGTAGCAGTAACATGGGTATTTTTTATAAATTATATCCATTCAAAAAATGTTAAGTTCAAAATAAATACGTTTAGAAGTCTAAGTGCCTTATTTGGTTTGTATTAATGTTTTTCTTTCCTCTAGGAGCTCTATTGTTCTCTTGCTGAACTTTGTATCATTAATTGTATTTGCCTTTGCTTTTTTAGTTGTGACAATTGTTTGTTCAAATGGTTGTATTTTTCCGTGACACATCTGTCCGAGTTTACTACTTCTATCAATGTCTTGGTAAATGAAGGATCAATGTTTTTTTCATAGTGCTCCAGTGTCAACTGTCTATTATTTATTTTGCTTCTGCTTATTTGAGTTGGAAGCTTTTTTAGACCGCAGCGTACCATTCTGGTTCATATTTTTATTTATTTATTTACACCATACTATACATTATTATTACAGCTAGACCAATACAATAATGCAAGACTTACAAAAAAAAAACAAACAAATCTATGAAAAAATTAAAAAGAAAAATAATAATATGCCATTGAAAAACTTGGGTTTGTTTTTCATTCTGTAGTGAATTTCGTTTGTACATTTTCCGTCGGGTGATAGCCATGTCCATTTAGTTTTAGAGTTTTTTTTTAAATACAGAATTAAGTAGTGTTAGGTTGTTTTGTAGTAAAAGTTCAATCATTCTATGGCTGTTGGCACTCTTACCATATCCATATTTGCCCAGTATTAGTTCCTCGTTGGCTTCTCTACTGCCAACCTGTGCATTAGTCACCCATAACTATTGTGGTATTGTTTTATGGTGTCTGACAGAATGGAGTAAAAGCCGTCACTTTCGCTTTCGGGTGCTGACTCTGTGGGTGCATTTGCTTGTATTATTGTCCACGAGTATTGCTAATGTTTCTGAGATTCCTATTAGCTCATGTATGTAGTTTTTTCAGTGTTTTTCTGATTAAGAAGCTAACTCCTCTATGGCCTGCTGTTTCTCCTTAGACATAATATGACATCTATAATATTCTGCTGTTTCCAGCATTCAAATATTTCAAAGAATTCTAGTTAAATTTATTAACACAACAGTTTAAATTTAGTCGTTAAAACCATGCAAGGATTATCAAAATATAACATGTCAAGGATTATTAAATATAATGTCAGTGTTTAGAAGGGCAGATGAGGCAACAAGTGCAAAGGTGTAGGATTTTTCCTTGCCTTACATCTTGTGGTACATCAGGTCTCTTCACAGCTTCTTCTGCTTCTTCTTAATTATTCTTTTTTTATGTTAGAGGGGCAGACGAGCAGACGGGTCACCTGATGGAAAGTGACCATCGCTGCCCATGAACGTCTGTAACTCAGGAGTCACAAACGCGTCGCCGGCCTTTTAGGAAAGAGTACGCTCTTTTCTTGAAGGTCGTATCGGTCCGGAAATACCGCAGACGATACCCGTTCCGTTCAGATTGGTTGTGCGGGAGAAAAAGTGTCTCGAAAAGCGCACAGCACAGTAGTGGCGCCCCACCAACTATTCAGGTAATGAGGATGAAAATTTTGCCGTCTGTAAAGATGGCGGAAAGTTGCGGTTGGTATTAGTCCAAACAATTATTCGGAGCACTGTTAATAATAATAATAATTATTATTATTATTGTAATTACAAGGCACCTGAATAAATTAATAGTTTTAGTGTGGTAACCTCTGTTCATTATATAGCTGAGACTACTTTACCAATATAATGGAGGGGCCTGTTAGCCTTTTTGTTATAATTATTGCTTAGCTTGAGGTATGGGTTTCATTCCCGTGTTGTACTGAGCACTATCATTTTTTCTGTACCTGGGTGTAATCTATCTATAATATTATTACATTGGAAACACTGAATTTCTTTATGTCATGCTCCCCCATTACACCAGCATCTATTTTACTGTTTACAAATTCATATCACAATTGTACGCAATGTGTACCGAATTAGTACATACTCAAAAAATAAGGACCTTAACGGGTTAAAAGGTACAGTCAACTAATTTATTACTTGCTCTAGAGTATCCCCAGTAAGGAAATTTTATGTAGTCCCTTACTTATGAGGCAAACAAGTGGAAAATTGTACTATTATTTTCACATTTGGATATGCTAGTTGTTACTAAAATCGTTTTTTAATCCTTATTATAAGCACCTGAGCAAAATAAATAGCAAATTGTATTTCAAGCTGATTCATTATCATAAAATTGCTTTGTGGTTCTATCGCATGCAACTGTACTTAGTAAGGAACGGAGACTGCTTCAAAAAGCAATAAAAATATTAACTGGCTTCTAGATCACTTCGTGTGACCTCTGTATGTATTTAGCAAAATATAAGTATGTTTATCAGCAGTCTGGTTACTATAGTACAGGCTCTGCCTAGTTTGGGATCACACGGCCATGTGTGTCATGGTTGTGTAAAGTTATTATTATTCCCTGCTTAGATTCAGTGATGTCTGGACACCATAAGTAGGTGTGTTAAAATGATGTATATATGTGTACAGAAAGTTTTCAATTGGTGAATTTGAATTAGCCAGAAAAATAAAAATTACTTTCTTCTAAGAAGTAAGTAATTAATGGAGAGATTTATTTTTCTATTGACAAGAAATCTGAGTCTATTTTTATTTAGTCATACACAAAAAAAAACAGCTAAACCTTTTAAAAATTCCATGAGTATAAAATTAGGGCCAGATAAAGAAAATTAATGATGAGTCTTTATTTCTCTCTCCAAGCGCAAGTTGCGCAAGCGCATTCTGTAGTACATTTCTTTAGCTAATTCAAATTAGCTACTACGAAAATACTTTTTATGACATTTGTGAGATTGGGTGTAGAGCAGAACTGAATTGGCCCTCTGGATCATCAACAGACGGAATATAATATTATAAGATATTTTTTTCTTTTTCAGTTCAAGAAATGAGTGTCTACAAAGAGAGGAAGAAGATAAGGAGCATGAAATCTAAATGATTTATTTATACAGTTCCTCGTAGATATTAGGGTAAATAAAATAATAGACCGATATGTTTTTAATTTTATTATTTAGTTATTGTACTTTAAACAATAAACAAATCTTTGGATACAATGCATTTCATTACAATAACTGGAAAACCTGAAACACTGTTAAGTACATGCTTTTAACAATTAGCTACGAAAGTTTATCGTACATAGAACAGAGTCTAATTTATATTCAATATAATGAGTTTAGAATATATGCTTCACATACCAAGTTCTTACGGCTAAATCCAATAACATATGCAATTCAAAAAATTTCAAAATACATGAAGTGCTATTCGTCCAATGTGCCTTATTCTGACATAAAGTGCTAATAGTGCTAATTAAAATTAAATTATTTGCTAACGTAAAACACCTTTTTTATTATATATTTCCGTCACTACTAAGTAGGACCCAGCTCCGATTAATTTAACTCTAATAAATTTTCCAAAAGAGAACTCTCAATACAATATAGGCCAAATTTTGATTAAATATATATTTCTCATATCACAATACAAGAAGTAAATAATTTAAATGTCGTTTACATTAATTAAATGAATTTCTACATGAATAATTTTATTATTCTAATTTATTTTTATATTATGTTAATACAATAAATATTATCAACATTGTTTTACCGATAACTGTAAATATTTCATCCAATCAATAAACATTTCAAACACTTAATACTTACTCTCACTTTATTTATTTATTCTATCTTGAATTAATCTAAATGCTTGAATACATATAACTTATATGGCTATGTATGCAACCTTTTAAGGCTTTCTCTATCTCCTAATACTACCGCCATGTTCGTGGAACCATGACATTAAATATTGAAAATAAATGATTTGAATTAAATTGACTAGAATGTAACACTTAGGCACCTAAAAAAATGTGACTTATACTTACCAATAATTGAATATATCGGATTTAAATTTCATAATAAAAATATGTACAAAGAAAAGATATTGACGTCAAAAGAGTCTTCAGTTTATTTGCAATGAAATGAAACTTAAATCTACTTATATGAGTAGTAAATGTACGATTTGAAGAAATTCTTTGGCTTATTATAGTTTTAAAAAGATTATTTTAATTTTTAAAAGTTTGAAATTACAGGCAGTTGGTCCGCTACCGCTCGCTACCGACACAATGTATTGATAGTATAATATTAATATGGAATGATATTATTTATAGTTTTTTTTTGTAGATAGAATAAAAAAAATATTTACGTATATATTTAATACAGAGCTATGCACTAATTTTCCATACTTTACCTGATAACATTGAGAATATTTGTTACCAAACATAAAAAAAAAAGTATTGTTCTGAGACTTGATGAAATCAGTTTGTAAAGACAAACCAGACGTATTCAGTTTGTGAAGAGTTTAATAAACCTCAAAATAATACAAATAAAAGTATTATTGTTCCCATATCAACAACTTGAATCCTAGCTAAACAATAGTTTAAAAAATACAGTCATGGAATAAGCACAGAAGATTAACGAAAAATTAAATATACATAGAAAATATTTATTTACGTACATGTTTTGGAAAGCAATAATTACGTTAAAAGTAAATATCTAAGGACTAGATCGTCACTGGAAGTATAAATATTAAATATAAAAAATTACATTTATAAAATCTTGAACCCTTGTTTATATGTATGTAACATTGATAAAAATTTAATTAGAAATCCCTAATTCTAAGATGAAGGTATTTAGTTGTATCGAATATTTAGATGAACTAAACAATAATTTTATTACAGGTTTTATTTAGAATAATTTACATTACCGTATTGTTTTAACCCGTACGTTATGTACTCCTCGCTTCTAACAATCAAATGCTTCCAATGAGATATTTATTTGGCGCCAAATACATATTTACCAGAGATAATAAATATTTTTGGCGGACTCAATGACAGAATCAGATTCGCCTTTGAAATATTTTATACTTACAAATTAACTTAGCTTTATAATTTCGAAAGGCCGAAAAGTCACTTGTTATATATTTTTGTTATTCATTTTAATCGTTCCAAACTTTTCGATAAATTAATAGAGCTACCAATTTCATTTGAAATGCAATATTTTTTCGGTCTCCGACCGTTACAATTATTAGGTACTATTATTATCATCAGATAATACTATAATCTACTTTATTATTATTACACATACCCCATAAATATAAGGAAATACTTTATAAAATTTATTTTTAAAATAATGACACGTTTGTGATTTTTTTTTAAATGTAATGGCGGTATGAAAAAACGTGCCGATATGAAACAATTTATATTTTAAACATTGAAAGAATAAATTTTGACATTTATGTATTTTATAATTTTATATAGTTTTTAAACTAGAGAGATCACTTATTCACTCACTTCTCAAGTCCTTTGCTCCAACAGGGGAGCAATGTCGGGGTACTTTCATGCAAAGAATTCTGATTTACTCGTCATGTCGAATTCGGACTCCTCCATCTTGTACATCTCGATCAGCTGGAACACGCCATATTAAATTAATTTAAATACGTGACTTCACGGCAACAGAATGCATTTGCCAGACCCGGGTCTACAAGTCTTTGGTTTCGGGTCAGAAACTGAATAATGCCTTGCTCCATCAGTTGAGATAAATAATCTAAAAAAAAACCCAAACATTGAATGGTTGGAATTTTTCGTGATTGGGACATAAAAATATATTGGTTCTTATAAGAACCCTTTAATAAATTTGCACTCTTTAAAATCTTGTACGCAATAACTTTTTCACCGTGCCTGGAAAGTCCCCCCCAAGGAGCCGGAGATCCAAAGGGATCCAAAAGGATCCAAAGTATGTGGTATTGCCATTAAAAACCACGCCGACGGCCGGCCTTAGGCGGCCTACTCTGGAGAAGGCCCGATGACTTCATGTTCCCCCCCCCCCCCCCGGATCGACGCCGCACCTAACTAGGCCCTATCCCTATATTGCAGCCCGATCGCATAATGGTAATTAATTAATTAATCTGCAACAAGAGGTCCCCACTCTCTGGCGGTCCGCGGTCCCGTCAGTCGACGTCTTCTTCGGTAGGGATCAGCACTCTTCCGATCCTATTCAGCAGTCTTTTGCAAGAGCATTACAGCTTTACTTTACAGCATGGCAGTAATGATTGCTGGTGGGGACAGGTCTCGTTCGAATTGGCAGAATACCAATTTCTGTTATTATCAGTTATTGTAATTAAAGTATTAAATACAAATATATTTAGTGAAATATAATATGAAATATTTTAAAGTAAAAAATTATTACTGGCTGTTGGTTTATATTTCAAAATTAATAAAAATAAAAATGGTGTCTTTTATACACAATAAAGCGAAATGGTCTTTTAACAGGAACAGTCGCCTCGTTCGCTTCCTACTGCCGGAGTGTCCCCATAATATTGGAACTTTGTGTGATCTACAAACTGTTGTTCTTTGTGTCCGTTTCATGAATGTTTGTAAAGTCCCCCGCGACACAGGATACACTCTTTCAAAAAATTTATAAAAGAATTTGACCAACAACCAGCAACTTCTACCTTGATCTTTTACTGTTAGGATATAATTGTAACATACGTTATCGATATCCTTGGAGAGCTCTTCCATCTGCTTGTCGTGAATAACCTTCAACTTCTCCTTCTCGCGATTCTGTTTAATGGTTTGAGTCTGGAAAGTAGCCAATACATTATTTCTTCATTCTATCATTTCATTCATCATGTTGTGAAAGCATGTCTCCTGCTCTTGTCAGAACTTTATATGAGGTCTGCATAATGTGTAACTTTGCAAGGGGTTTTGGATAATTTCGTTTAATGGCCAACTGCCTGCTTTAAGTTGACGTTGGGAATGTGTGTGGTATACTGATAGCCACAGCTACTAGTTTTAGTTCCGGCACTGTTTTATTCTTTAAGAAAAAACAACTTAGACTTTAAGGTCGTCCCTGTGTTGGACCAGCTTCTCATCATTGTCATGAATTTGAAAGATTAACATGCAATAAAAAAAAACTATCTTCTTACAGACCACATCGAAATCAGGAAAAATAATCTTTTTTTTTTATGTTAGAGGGGGCAGACGAGCAGACGGGTCACCTGATGGAAAGTGACTTTCGCCGCCCATGAACGTCTGCAACTCAGGAGTCACAAACGCTTTGCTGGCCTTTTAGGAAGGATAACGCTCTTTTCTTGAAGGTTTGAAGGTCGTATCTGTCTTGAAACTCACCTTCCTTTCGTCCATGAACTTTTTGGTGTTGTTTTGCTTCTTTTCGCGCAGCCGTCGATCCTTCTCTTGCTTGGTTTTGAGAGTCTTGTCGTTAGCCACCTCCTTGCTCGTCTCCATGCTGATCTTGGCTTGGCGAGCGTTCATCTCTTTGAGTTCCCTGAATTTCAAATAAATAAATTTAATAACTGGAATAAACTATTTTTGATGGTATACTAGCGGACTTAATTGCATTAATACGAAAACTTAATTTATTTTAACAAATTCTTCAATTGCTGCACTACGCAACGTGCAACAGATTCCCTTAAACATTTTTGATAAACTTGAGTATTTTATTTCTGATGGAGTACTTGGTGTGGTAGGCAACAACTAAATATGAATACACTCTAATATAAGCACGATCAGCGATCTGGAAAGATATTTTAGATAGTCTGCACGGATGGCGTAGTGATTTAAGCGGCCACCTTGCTTCAAGTGGCTTCCTTCTGCGTTGAGTGTTGTGGACTCGACTGGACAACACTTTGTGTGGTTCACAAATTGTTGTTCTGAGTCTGGATGTTCTTTGACAGAATACGTTCCTAGTGCGGAAGTTGTATTTAAAAGAAAAAAGAAATTTTTACTTTTATTCAGCTCTTTGCCCGTGTCTTTGCTTGTTTAAAAGATTTTTTTTCATCTCTCGAGAACATGTTTGACAAGTAACGTTTTTTCTGTCACTTTTCTATAATCTATGGTAATGATTATGTGAAAAAGGACGGAAGTGTGTAACAGGACGTTGGGGAAGCGCGCGCTTTTTGATTTGACCGATGAGCGTGCGCGGTATTAGAGTCAGTCGTAAGAAGGTAGCTGAGCTGTTAGATATAACATATGCAAGTGCCGTAAGGCTCGCTTGTTCTCTTTTCCTTGGTCAAAGGTACGCTGCGTCCTTTGCTGAATCTTATTTGCTGTATGTCAACAAATATGCAAAAGTTCATGATGATCATATAAATGTACGACCAAACCAACATTAATCTTTATACATGTGCTAGCTGTTTGGCTGTGGCACATTGTAATGTTTGGCTGTGGCACATTGTAATGGCATCTATGAGAAATAATGAACAAAACTGACAAAGAGGCAAAAACAATCTTTGAAGCGGTGAAAATTTGAGCTCAACCGGTACAGAACTTTTTGTGTTTTTGAAGCCCTCTATCATTTTTATACATATAGATAATATAGAAGATATAAGGATGTTGTGCACATCCCATCCAAAATATTTACGCATTGGAAACAATTAATGGAGTGTTAACCATAATTTCACAGACGCTTCTTCGCATGTTGATATTAAACCAGCTCCAAACGCAACAGTTTATGAACGGAAGAAACTAATGAGGTATTTACTTCTGTGCTGACATGCCGGCCGTGAACTTGGCGAAGTTAACCAATATTAACACATCAAGGTTAATGTTGATTAGACTTCTGTTTTTATCCGTAGTTATAATTATAATAAAACTCGGTTTTAGATAAACTAACGTGTTCCGCGTAACTCTTCGTTTGAAGTATTTTGATTATATTTATACAAGGTATCTCTCGTATTAAAAGTTTTCTTATTCATCTTCAATGAAGTTAGTGTGGATTAAAATTGGTTTTCACCAGCTCAAGCTGTATATGTCCTCTAGTTTAATTTACGTCTTATGTTTCCTTTGAACTGATTTAGATGGTAACTTTACTACGTTATTTTAATTATAGGGACTTTCCAGCAATAGCCACTTCGAGCTACTGGTATGCAACCCTGAACTGCTCGAGTTATTGTTTGCGTTCGAGGTGAGTGTGAACCATATACATCCCTTTTCTTTTTAGTTATAATCTCACTTTCTCCATCTAGCTTCTTAAGTGCCCGGTTTACGATGTGGGCTTTTAGCCTATTACGTATTTGGAACTAAAACTATACTATGTAGTTGGTAAAATGTTAGGTTTTTAAATATGCCTCTGGTTACGGTATAGACGTGATTCTATGTATGTATGTATGTTTATTACGAGAAGAACCACTCTTGTGTTTCAGTTACTTTATTTGCGGTACATTAATCAAGGAATTAAGTTAGTGGTAATCATAATTATGTGTAAGAAATACAGATAGGTTGATGTTGTGCCCAGAGTAGTACAAATATATTGAATTAACATTGACAAATTTTTGCCTTTAAATACTTTACTTTTAAAATTTCATAATTTGGTGGAACTATTCGAATCGAATCATTCAATCGAATCCAATAAATGACAAATCGATTCAGTTACATGTCAAAAATTCCAAATCGTGGAGCTACCTTTCATGTTTGCCCTCCAGCTGCTTCATCTGCGCGAGCTGCGTCTGTTCCATCATCTTCTTCAGCAGGTCTCGTTGCTCGTTGAGGCGGCTGCGAGCACTGCTCCACTCCTCGACGCGATGCTTAGCCACCAGTTCACTCCACGCGCCAGCCTGCTCGTTTACGAGCTTGCGGAACGCTTGGTCGGTGCTCAGCTGGTCTTTGCTGGCAATTAAAATCGTTATGGTTATAGAGGATAATTAAGGATAATCTAGCTTGGATGCGGAAAGAATATAATAATATCTAAATTGTTTTTGAACATCTGACACACAACGCCATCTACCTTCAAACTAAGCAGAGCTTGTACAATGAAAGCTAGATTGGCTGATAGAATACTTATAAACTATTTTTTGTAAATACTACATATTATACAAAGAAAACACCCAAACTACAAACACTTGCTCCGACCCGGGAATATAATCCGAGACCTCAGAACAGCAGTCGCATAAGTTACCAGCTTCAGTGGTTCATTGGTTTGACGTGAACAATTTGATTTACAAATGAACAAAAAACTAAGTGTATACGTTTCACTATGCCAAACGTCAAGCCAGTGAAAACTACTGTGATGATTAAGCATATCGGGTTAGACCTTGTGGACACTACGACATTTATAGGTATAACACTAGCTCCTAAGCTACAGTGGGGCCCACATATTGAGAAATTATCGAAAAGACTCAGCTCAGCAGCATACGCAGTTAGAAAAATTCGAGAGTTGACTGATGTTGATACATCACAACTAGTTTACTTTAGTTATTAAAATTTTATGAAATAAAGAGAGTTTGAGTTTTGAGTTTACCACTGCTCCACCGAGGCAGTCAAGTATATGATAATACAAGAAGATACAATTTGGACATTTAAAATGATTGATTCCAATACCTTTTTTATAGTAGAGGCGGGTGAACAGACGACGAGTCAGCCGTTGGTGGTAATTACATTAGGACAAACGGCTATTTCTAAACAAAGAGTTCGTAAGTGCACCCACTTTTTTTTATCTGTGCGGCGATCCCCTCGAATACCACCCAGCGGTGGTTATGTCGTACATGAACCGACTAAAAAACGCACGCCGTCTCGGGTACCAGGTGCCAAAGAATCAGGTGTACCCTAAGAAGGAAATCCCTGATACCCCGACGTACCTCAAGCCATTTAGCGCGTGTAGATGACCCCTCCTGTGTGGGAACCCCTAAGTCCCCCTTTCCTCTCCTCAATCGCTGTTCTTCTTGCACGTATAAATAAAAAGTAAACTTACTTCTTCCCTTTAATCATTTTCTCCAAAGCAGAGCATTGTGACTTCTGCAAAGACATTTTCTCTTTGGTGTGACGTTTCCTCATTGCTTCAAGTTCCTTCTGTTGCTTGCGCCCGGTCTTCACGAATCCCTTCTCTTGGCGGAGGGATTCTACCGTAATAGGCTCGAAGACTAGAGGAGGTTCTAGAAGATGAGAGAACAATGTATTAACACACCTGCGTTCATAAGTTCTTAAATAAATAGAGTACGCATGAATAAATACATATGATTAAATGTAAACAAGTCATTTTGAAAAGATTTACGTCCATCTATCATCAACTATTGGGATGTGGTATTATACTAAAAGCTGGTTATAAAATAGATACATTAAATCTAAAATAGATACTTGGTAAATGGATCATCGCGTCTCGAGTTATGAGTGCAATACACAGAAAAGAGGCCGGCAATAGGATAGGAGGCAATATACTCTAAGAAAACAGGAAAGAAATTTGAATGTGTCCAATGATGGAGTTGATTAACAAAATTACATTTTTTTTTTAGGTAGCAAGTTAATTGAGGAAACAACAAAAAACCCGGCTGCTTGGAATTTGTACACTTAAAATTTTTATTCTTCCTTTTAATAGCCTAGTCTTTAAGGAAAAATATTTATTGGTTATGTAAAATACGAGGGCGGGTCAATAAGTCCGTGACTTTGAATTTCTGACCTCTTTACTGAAAAAGCAACACTACTCCTGTCAACAGGCATCAGTCAGTTCTGTCAAAATATGAACTTGCTGCGTCAGTTAGTTTGTGTTTGACAGCTATCTTTATCTTTATCAGACTGGTCCGTGTGGTGACGGATTAAGAATACGGAGTGTCACCACCCCTATTCATCCCGTAGGTGTCGTAAGAGTCGACTAAGGAAGCTAACTACGCAGGAAAACAGCACTGCAAAGAGAAGGGAAACTTGACAAAAACCCTACGCTAATCCGTCTGGCTAGTGTGGTATAGTAGGCCAGTAGTGGACTATTAAAGGCTGTGGATGATATAAGTAGAGAAAAGAATATTTTTCAACATAGCCGCCGAAACATAAACTGGTTTGGCTAACGTAAGCTAAACCTTAAGAGATTATAGTTCTACTAAATTACACCAAGCATAGTCGGGGCAGGTCGCAAGTTTACATTATAATAAATTATTTAGTTATAAATAACTGAAGACTAATTTAATTACTAGATAAATATATTGGTACAATGAACAGATAACAACGCTATGGCATTATGTTTTAGACCTAATAATAAATAGGGAGGTGTGTACCTTTTATCCACACATTTACCTTTCTTAATAATTATTTTATATCTATGATTATTATTTTACACCAATATGGGTAAAAAATGGAAGTAAAAAAAAAACATTTCCACTAATTTTAACGCACATAAAACCACTTCGATAGATTTTTCCGCCCGTTTTCCAACAATGATGTTAGTTAGACACACAGTGAGACACAACGACACTCTTACCCAAACAAAACGACACGGTGCTCATTGTTTATCGCAGACGAGTGGGTACTGAATGCACGAACATTCAATTTGAGCGAAACTGGATGTGTAACTGAGATATCAAACACGAAACATCTGTACAGTGAAATATTTAAGGTAATATGTTAGGTGTTTGGTACAAGTCATAAGCGACGGCACTTTATTATTTATTATAGACAGACATCAGCAAGACGTCAATGCTTAGCTACAAGCGTATATAACAAAATCCATCCATTCTAGTGGAACTCACTGGCAAAAAATTGACCTCATAACTAAAATAAAATCATGGTTACTAACGCTCGACTACACGCAAACCGAAAACTTGGTACAATGAGCACGCCCATCACTCACACACGTACATAAACACACACACACGCATACACACACACACACATACAACAAAATGGGTGAAGACACTGTTTCCTGTAACACAGGTTGTTACCTACCACAGGAATCAGGATCCTAATGTATTGTAATAATGGCTATATCAATAAAAAAATATTCTTATAAACAATCATCAACTCGAAATGGTCTTTCTAATTTTTTTAGCATTGCTTTTAGGGGTCTGTGAGAATCTCATTAAGTCTACACATTTTTACTTTCTTAGGAAATATCATAAAATTGCAAAGGGATACGGATAGTGTGTCAGGAAGAAGTTAGAAGATGTTCTTAGCCCAATAATGATTATTTCAATGGGATTTTTAGAACCATTGGACCTGCTTACATGTTAAGGATGCTGCACATTACATCGAAAGCTATGTGATTCAAACCATATCACAATGTAACTCAATAGTAGACATCGGCGCGACGTTTGTTAAGGACTCCAATAACATGCTTGACGATTCTCAATTAGAAATCTATGTTTGTCAGTCCAATACTGTCTACAGTTATAACTTGTCCTTAGTGATCGATACACAAGGCAAGCACATTTCAGAATCACGTTTATTCATTCACAAAATCGCTACCATCCCCGCTGCCACTGATCGCGTAGACTAACCGTCATTTTAGAATGAATTGAATCCTAAAATATCTGTTACATGTCATACTCTGGTTGAATTAGTCAGATAAACTTCTGCGTAAATAAATAACCGTAATTACATTATCAAGGTATGGGCTATTTTGAGATCTCTGCGGGGAATCAACTGGAAAAAATCACTTAGATAGTTTTGTATACTATATACAGAGTAGGCAAATCAGCATACAAGGCATGAACGTATAAACCGGCTAAATTAGGATGTAATGCGCTACCGGATTTGTCCGGTTTATTACCGCCGGCCAGGAATAGTTTCGAAGTCTTCTTCCATGATGTCTTTTTATTTAATTATGTCTATAAATCAAGGCTACTGAGGGTATCAGGTAAGTGGTTATCAGAATCAAAATATATCTATACTTTATATTGTAGCTTTCCATTGGTGCAAGAATTTTGAAAATCGGTTTAGTGGTTCAGGCGTGAAAGCATAACAAACAAACAAACTTACTTTCACATATATACAAATAAATAAAATTGGAGTGTCTGTTTGTAATATTAAAATAACCACTTTTTACTAAATGCATACGTATGTTTACAAGGTACATATGCCAAAATAACATTTTTTACAATTTTTGTCTGTCTGTCTGTTTGTTCCGGGTAATCTTCGACGGGACTTTCACTCTCAGATAGCTGATGACATAAGGAGTAACTTAGGCTACTTTTTTTAGACTAGCTTCGCCCCGCGGCGTTGCCCGCTGTTATAACAACAAACGCGGGTAACACCGCGGGTCTCAGCTTGTTTATAATATAAGTATGAAGGTATGGATAGATGAGTTTTTACAATACGCCTTTTTAATTTGAATAAATCCTATCTCGCGAGGGAATTTACAAACACACATGAAACGGACACAAAGTACACCCAGACTCAGAACAAGAATTTGTGGAACACACAAAGTGTCGTCCCATGTGGGGATCGGACCCACAACACTCAGCGTAGTAGTAAGCGGCGTGGCGACCGCTTAAACCACTACGCCATCCGTGCAGTCAAATGTTAGAGGGGGCAGAAGAGCAGACGGGTCATCTGATGGAGAGTGACCATCGCCGCCCATGAACGTCTGCAACTTAGGAGTCCCAAACGCATTGCCGGCCTTTTATGAGTACACTCTTTTCTTGAAGGTTTACATATCACCAACCTGCGATACAAACCCACATTTCATCAAGTATTACCCTAATAGCGTATTTAGAATGTTTCCACGCTCTGCGTTTCCTAGAACTGTTTAAGTCGAGACTCAAAATAGATTATGTACGACCCACACACAACTCACCTCTGCATTCGGTCGGAGTAAACATAATTTTGAATAATAATAATAAGAACTTCAAACATACTAAACAGCAGTCTGCTAGGCAGAACTTGTACTTTGTTAATAGTACTGCTGATAAACATACTGTGGAGGAACGGGTGTCATTTCTCTCCAACACAAAGGGAGGATCCTCCGACCAGGCGAGGTGATCATGCCTGGCGGGCCGCGGCCCAACGGTTGATGTTGGGAAGTTGTATGTATGCTAATCGGCGTAGTGGTTTGTGTAACGGACTGCTATTCCAAAGGTAGCGGGTTCGATTCCCGCTCAAGTCAAGCATTTGTGTGCATGAACATTTAATGTTTGATTTGGTCTGGGTGTTTCTATGTGTAATATGTATGTATTTACAAAAAAAAAAATATATATGTATTTATATCAGTTGTCTAGTACCCATAGTACAAGCTCTGCTTAGTTTGGGACTAGATGGCGTTGTGTCAATGTGGTAGGATATTATTATTATTATATTATTATTATATCGCGATACAGGATTAGCAATTCTTATTTTAGTAGTTACTCCGTAGTTCGGTGTGTCTTCATTAGATGGCGTTGTAGTATGTTTCTGTTTTTTGTAAGTGGGAGTCGCCACAATACTTATATATTTCTAAATACATACTTACATATAATAGATAAATTAAACCCAGACACAGAACAAATGATCGTGCACATCACACAAACACTTGTCTTGGGTGGAAATCGAACCCACGACCTCTGGCTTAACAGAAAGGGTCACTAACTACTAGACTAAGAGGATAACAATGGTTTGGTCTATTTACCCGTGTTCTATAACCCTATATACAAATCCTGCTTAGTTTGGGTCTGGTCTATAACCCTGTTTAAATCTTTCTTCCTCCTTTTCCCAAACTAGGTTGGGGTCGGCTTTACGTCTACTACGACACGGCTGAACTTCGAAGACCTCCACAACCCAAGTACTGGACGATATCGAAGGTCTGTAGAAAGACTGTTGTCGAACTATTTAGGGTTCCAACTACCCGTAACGATTGCCACAGATGTTCGTATGGCAACCTGGACCGACAGCTTAGACCGAGCGGTCTCTATGTGTTAAGATTGCTCACCCATCCATATACCAACCTGGCTAGAATTGCTTAACCTTGCAACGTCACCTACTTGCCGCCGCCCTTTGTACATTACATCTGTTGTTAATTACTTTATAGAGTCTGTAAAACCCTGGTGTACAAATAAAGTATTTATCTATCTATCTATGTACTCGCCACTAGCCCGTTCCCTGTTTAACAAAATGAGTAGGTTACCTTCTTTCTTCTCCTCGAGCTGCACCTTCTTCTCAGGCCCTGTCTCCTCGATGCCCATCTGCTTGACCTTGTCGTTTCGCTCCTTGGCGGCGCCCATGAAGGCGCGCGGGTCGGACAGCGCCGCCATGAAGTCTGCGAGGGTCAACACAAGTCTCATTTCATTATTTAGCTCTTTTAAAATAAACTTTATTTATATTTAGTTAACGTTTGTTTAACAATGTCCGCATAACTGTTCTAGCGGTTTGTAGTCGTTCCGATCAAGTTATAACCAGATTATTACTTAAATGCTACTTTTTAAATTACGGTTTTTATAGTACAACGGTATTTATACAAATAAAAAAAAAATACATACAGTGGAACACAGAACCTCCTCCTTTTTTGAAGTCGGTTAAAAACGGAAGTGTTTGTAATGTTAAAATAATAGGTTTTTTCATGCTCACACGGTTATTTGCACGATACATAGGTATCGTGCTAATAACCTAAAAAAACAAATAGTTTTTGTCTGTCTGTTTTTTTGTTTGTACCGGGTAATCTTCAAAACAACTGGACCAATTTTGATAATATTTTGGCTTTAATATTTTTGATAATATTTTGATTACCAGGTAGCTGTCTATATAGGCTTTTTGTCTTGTTAGAAAAACCCTATAAAATTTTGCCCGGTCCGGGAATCGAACCCGAGGCCTCATGGACTGTAGTCGCATACCGTACTACACCACTAAGGCAGCGCTTTTTAAATTCCACGGGAACGAAGTCGCGGGTACCAGCTAGTATTATCTATCACATCACATCACATCACTATTTTAGGGTACCTACCTACTTCCTTGTTTACGTACGGTTTAATCTATTACCATAACCAGTTCTTTGTTCTTTGTTCTTCAGTTTTGTCTTAGTTTTGATTTAAATACCTATTTTATTTTTTAGCTGTTTTTGTCTTTAGGACACAATTTAGAAACTTTGGTAATTGACTGGCAGAAAATAAAGAATTTATGGGATAACGAATAAAACCGAGCATTTTCTCATACTTATAATGTAAGGGTATTATTTTAATTTCAGTCTTAACGTATGTTATATTATAACACAAAGTTGGTTGTATAATTTTAACAAATGATATCAATCTTGTAAAAATTACCGACTTAAAAAAATTTTTTTAAAAAAAGTTGAACCGACTTCAAACAATACTAACAAAGAGCACTGAAAACCTGGCAGCAATCGCGGTTGATTTGCTGTCATTTTTTGATGAGTTCCGTTGTCTGTCTCCGAAACTCATCATCAGATCTATATGACATTTAAATGGGACCAATTTGGCATAAACCCCTTTATAACAAAAAAGAATTTTGAAAATCCATCTATATATGACGGAGTTATGCCCTTCTGTGATATCGATAACCTTCTCCTTTTCGAAGTCGGTTAATCATAGCTTTTCATAAATCGAATACCAATTTCGTTTTTTTATGTGATAGGGGGCGAATGAGCAGATCCATCCATGAACACCTACAACTCAAGAGACATGAGAGAGTCGCCCCCCCCCTAGGGAATTAAGAATCTTCCTTTTTTTGTGAATTTGATTAAAACGTGGGATGCCCTTAATTTTTTTGAAGCGCAACTTTTTTATCACCGTTAACATTTGAAAATTTGAAAAAAGAGACAAACATATTAATAAATAGGATTTAGCCTGCGAGAGAATGAGATAGATTACAAGTATACAGTGTTTTCTGTAATCCATTGTTTCCTCTTTGCTATCACGTGTCTTTGCGCCTGCGTACAACGAAGCCTTCAGAAAATGTGTCATAAACAACGTGGTGTATCATTCATTTGTTTTATTTTTTTGCATTTGCGTATTAAAAGTCGTTAACTAATTAATTTATGTTAATTTTATATTTCACACATCTTTACCAGCTTTTATCTAAAGTTGAATTTAATATACATTAGCAACTTTATTTGTGTTGATTTTACACACAATAATATTTTTGTGTAAATTGTGTAATTTTTTTAAATATAATATTTTGACAGTGTGAATATTTTTATCTTTTTATTCAATAAAATATTTTTTCTGAAGTTTCACTTTTGCCGTGTGTCAATTGCACACACACACACTTTTTTTGGACGATACAATTTCGTTCCATAATTTTTAATTTTGCTTGCATACCTTCGAAGCCGTCAGGCACGTAGATCTTGAGCTCTATATTACAGAAGAGCATGGGCAACGACATGGGGAAGTTGGCCTCGGTCCTGAGCGAGATATGACGGTAGCCAGCCTGCAGACCGTCCAGGGGCAGGATACGTTGTCCAAGGAGTTTGCTGTTCTCGTCATACACGCCGAAACGGAGCACGGCCAGGTCTGGGAGGACCACCTGTCGGAGTAAATGGTTCAGTAGTTTTAGTATATGAGCTGTAGCTGTAGCCTCCATTGTGACTTCAAGGACTTTTAGGTATTTACCTTCCTGAACAAGAAAGGTTCCTCGTTGTACACCGGGTTTAGTCCGTTGGCAGGCACCATGCGAGTCCTGAACTCTTTACGTATGGTATCTGATGGTAGACCGTACATGTCCACCTCCACGTAGGTGCCTATCTTCTTGTCTGACAAAAACTGACCAGCGATCACCTAATGAACAGAAAATATATCATTTTAATGTAGTATTGAAAAAAGAGCATTGGGAATTGGAAAGTTCGTGTACCCGCACGGAGCTAAGTGTGTGTACCCGCACGGAGCTAAGTGTGTGTACCCGCACGGAGCTAAGTGTGTGTACCCGCACGGAGCTAAGTGTGTGTACCCGCACGGAGCTAAGTGTGTGTACCCGCACGGAGCTAAGTGTGTGTACCCGCACGGAGCTAAGTGTGTGTACCCGCACGGAGCTAAGTGTGTGTACCCGCACGGAGCTAAGTGTGTGTACCCGCACGGAGCTAAGTGTGTGTACCCGCACGGAGCTAAGTGTGTGTACCCGCACGGAGCTAAGTGTGTGTACCCGCACGGAGCTAAGTGTGTGTACCCGCACGGAGCTAAGTGTGTGTACCCGCACGGAGCTAAGTGTGTGTACCCGCACGGAGCTAAGTGTGTGTACCCGCACGGAGCTAAGTGTGTGTATCCGCACGGAGCTAAGTGTGTGTACCCGCACGGAGCTAAGTGTGTGTACCCGCACGGAGCTAAGTGTGTGTACCCGCACGGAGCTAAGTGTGTGTACCCGCACGGAGCTAAGTGTGTGTACCCGCACGGAGCTAAGTGTGTGTACCCGCACGGAGCTAAGTGTGTGTACCCGCACGGAGCTAAGTGTGTGTACCCGCACGGAGCTAAGTGTGTGTACCCGCACGGAGCTAAGTGTGTGTACCTGCACGGAGCACTGCGCAGCGATGACGCCGTCGACGGGCGCGTCGGCGAAGGGGTCGAAGCTGCGGTCGGCGCGGCGCATGAAGTCTGGCTTCAGGAGGTAGCCGCAGTTACCGTTGTACTCGAACTTGCCCTGGTTCAGCTGCATTGGCAGGTCCGACGTTTGAAAGTTCAACGACACCATCTGGCATCCCGCGTTCCAGAACACCTGACCAACAGCGATACATTAATAATATTCCCTATATGTTCAAAGATTTAAGATAAAGTACGCGTATACGCATACCAATATCATTTAGATCTAATTTGATACTGATCTGGACTTTCAATAAAAATATTCTAGGGATTTTTTGAAAATAAAGTCTCTATCGTAGACATTTCGAACTATTGGGGAAATAACAAATTCCATATAAATAGCGTGTTTTCACGGGTTTTTGAAGAGTTATAAATTCATAAGTTTTCAGTACATAAATGCTATTAAAGAAATATTATTTTAACTGATCTGGACTTACAGGAATAAATATTAGTGTAAATCACTGACATGTAACTTAGAGGAGATCCAACAGTTGCTGTTCTTATCATCGATTTTCAATTTAAGTTAATACTTACAAATATACTGTAAAATAAATAGACCATTCCAATTTTTATCTCAAACATAAAACCATTAAACTTAGATTCACAAAATGCATTAAAACAACTTTTAAAAGTAGGAGTAAACTTAGAACGACATTATCAAGAAAAAAGAAAATTGAGGGTAGATTACAAATTTTTCCAGTTCCGGACGCAAATAATACCTGTGGCATGTAGTTAGAAGAGTCAGCCCTAGTGCCCTTGGGGTAGATCCTGGACATCTGACGCTTGTTATAGTTGACGAAATCAATGGCCTGGGTCTTAAGGTAGTTCATCCCTGTTGTTTCCGCGAAAGAGGACATATTGTGGTAGATATTGCGCTCTGAAACAAAGGCAGTTTATAAGATGGAAGTTTATAACAAAACAATTGAGAGGTTTAGGGCAATCCATAAATTACGTCACACGTTAAAAGGGTAGGGGGGGGGGGTTGAAGGAGGGGGTTCAGCGAAGTGTGAAAAGGGTTTGTGACGTCACAGTTCAAAACTTAATATATCTAAGTATTAAAATGCGAACTTTGAGTTAACTTAATTTTTTCAATAGTCTGATTTGATGTTGATTTTATTAAAAATAACTTGAATAGTAATAAAACTAATTTTGGAACTGCTATTTTCATTTCATAGCTTCTAGAGCAAAATATGTGATGTCACATTAGGGGGGCTCACAAATGTGACCAGCTGTGACGGGGACGGGGTCAAAGAACCATGAAATTCGTGTGACGTAATTTTTGGATGGCTCCTTAGGATTCCTTAAATTACTATTAAGTGAAAAATGATCTTCGGGTTTCACTCGTAGTAGTCTGAAGACGATTTATAGAGAAACGTCAAACTTGACTGGATGGAATACAGAAGGCAATATCCTCTGCAATCAAAAAGTCAAGTGTCTATATCTAGTGCTGTATGTGAATTAAAAACTGTTAGCAGTACTAACTGTCGGCCTCCTCAAAGCCCTGGAACTTGATGGGCTGCGCGTAGTTGACCATGGAGGAGAGCCAGGGGTGCACGTTGGTGGTGGAGCCGGTGTACGCGACGGGCGGCGGCGCGTCGTCGCCCGCCACCGCCGCCTCCGCCACTATCTCCTCGGGCTGTCGACACGTACCCCGTTACACAAACTATTGCAGATTTTGGATTGGCATATTCAATTATTTAAGTACGATAATCCTTTGCCGTGTTTTGGGATACAGATCTGTTGGTATTACGAGGGGTGATCAATAAGTAATGATAATCAATATGAAACAGAACTATTAGATTAAAAAAAGTATTTTATTTTTCAACATAGTCTCCTTGCAAGTTAATACATTTAGTGTATCTTTTTTCTAAGCCCATGATTCCCTTAGAAAAAAATTCTTTGTCTTGACCCTCCCAAAATGCCTCTACTGCGGCCATCACTTCACTATTGTCCGAATGATCTGGCGAATAGGGAGGGTGTTCGAGCAGTTCGAACCCCGTTTCTTCAATGGCAGCCATCGCAACTGCGGCTTTGTGAGCCGGGGCGTTGTCTTGGTGAAACAGCACTCCAGCGCGCAGTTTACCGCGTCTTTTTGACTTAATAGCTTCTCGCAATCTTCTTATTTGGCCTGCGTAGTAAGAGCCTGTTATAGTGGCCCCCTTTTCCAAATATTCCACCATAATAATTCCTTTTGCATCCCAGAAAACAGACGCCATAACCTTTCCCGCTGAACTTGACACTTTGAATTTCTTCGGCGTTGGTGAGGAAGCTCGTTTCCAAGTCATTGATTGTTGTTTGGTTTCGGGATCAAAGTGGTGGATCCAGGTCTCGTCCATGGTCACAAAACGCGACAAAAAAAAATCTTTATCGGCCTGGAACTTTTGAAGATTCACCCTCGAAATGTCGACTCGTTTCTTTTTTTGCTCGTCGGTTAACATTCTCGGTACCCAACGCGCAGAGACCTTTTTCATATGCATTTTGTTGACAATGATTTTTAACGCTGCCATAGGAGATCCCTGTGACCTCAGCTACATGCCTTACGGTCACCCTTCGATCGGCCAACACGATATCTTCCACTTTTTTGACGTTTTCTCCAGTAAGGGACGTGGAAGGGCGTCCCTCGCGATGTTCATCTTCAGTGGAGGTTCTGCCCAGCTTAAATTCCTTTGCCCAGCGTGCGACTGTGGAATATGGAGGAGCAGACTCCCCCAATGTTTCCTCTAAGTCGCTGTGTATGTCTTTGGTAGACATTTTTTTCAGGCAGAGGTACTTGATGACAGCTCTTATTTCATTTTTCTCCATTTTGACGTTTTCTCTTCGACAGTTCGTATTCAAATGAATGTATCTCCCGGTAATGGTCTCCTATTTATACATTTTTTTGAAGCTGAAGTAGTGGATATATAAGCAAGCAGAAAAAAAATAATTTGGGTTTTTGTGCGTTCTAGAAATACTCGATTATCATTACTTATTGATCACCCCTCGTATGAGCACTTGAATTAAAACGTGCCTTCTTAGTGGGAGAAAAAAAAAAACTGTTCAAAACGTTTCTAGCACAATGTAGAATAAATGTAAAGTCACCCTTTTACTACTGGTGCAATTTCTTAAATAAAGTTTGGAATATATTTTTCAATAACACATTATTTAGTTAAATAAAAAAAAATGTATGGACATCGTTTCGTGTTTATAAATTTTTTTTTTAATATTTACGTTGTCCGTGTGGTGACGGATTAAGAATAAGGAGTGTCACCACCTCTATTTATCCCATGGGTGTCGTAAGAGCCGACTAAGGGACCAAACTACGCTGGACAACAGCACTGCAAAGAGTAGGAAAACTTGACACAGACCTTATGGCAAACCGTCTGGCCAGGGTGGTATAATAGACCTTCCTTCTAAGGAGAGGCCTACGTCCAGGAGTGGATGTAGAGAAATTATGTTTTGTTTGTTTCCAAACTATCATATTTGTTTTCAATTTATTTGCATTCATATAGTTCCATCATCAAATCAACAGACTTTAATAGTCCACTGCTGGACATAGACCTCTCCTTAGAATAGATTTACATAAATACATATTTATACACATACGTACATTTATATAAATATACATACAAATACATATACATACATTACAAACCTACTATACCACGCTGGCCAGACGGGTTGGTATAAGGTTTGTGTCATATAGTTTGAACGTACTGTTAATAAATCAGATAATTTGATTTTGATATTTAAGACACATATATACAACTTACCTTCTTATCAGTGATAACTACAGCAGAAGCGTCTTCCTTCTCTTCATCTTCAATAACAAACTGCCCTTGACGGAACAGTTCCAACTCCTGCTTCTCCACCTCTGGCTTTAAGCGCTTATTCTTAATGAGAATTTTTCGCTTGAGTGATGAGGGCGGTGGCAGGGGTACTCCTGGTTCCAGCTGGTAAGGAAATTCATGATAGTATAATAAAGATATCAAGTGAGATTATGGACAATTCATTTAGCTAATAGGTTTCAGGATTCACATTTCACTGTCAACACTATCGACTCCACATAAAAATGAAAGGCAAGTTCGCTTTGTCTTTTTTCTCAGAAATGATAAGTACATTTCGCAAAAAAGTACGAAACTCAATACAGAAGCAAAAAACCAATTAGAAAACTCTAGTCTATTAGAAAAAACTAACCAAACGACCACTTACAGGGTGCTCAGGCAATGGTTCCTTCAGAAGCAGATCTCCTAGGATCTCGTCACAGTACTTCGCCAGCTTGTACTGCTGAGCCTTGCAGCAATGGTTCTCGAACGAGAGAATCACAGGGTAGTCTGACGTCACGAAGGCAGTGTCTCTCAGAGCGTAGATGACGTCTTTGAAGAGAATGTCAGTACACATTGCCATGCCGTGGGTGATGATTGGCTCTTCGTCTTCACCTTTGCCATCCCAGCAGTCGAGCTCTACGCATCTGGAACGGAGAGAAATATGAAAATATTATTTAATGTTTCGATTTTTTAGTTAAAAGTTCCAGTATGGCAAAAAACGATTTGCACTTTGTAGTAATTTTGGGGGGTATCAAATAGTGGGGCATTTTATTTTGGCAACAGGGTGGAAAATCCCTCAGGATCGCAGGCTCCTTAGGGATATAGGAGCCAGGAGTATGTGGTGCACCTAACCAGGTGGCCTGGTTGGATATTTATTTTTTGATATGCTTGTTACTCTAATGGTTATTGATATTGACTGGTTAGATTGAGGTAATGAATTCTGTTCTACTCCAGACTATTTTTTCACAAAAATGAGCACAATTATGTGTCTAAGTGTAATTCAACTGTCTGAGTGTATTTAAAAATACACACATTTTATAGATGAATTCTATATATAAGTATGTTTATCAGCAGTCTGGTTACCATAGTACAGGTTCTGCCTAAGTTTCGATCAGGCCACCGTATGTAAAATGTGTTAAGACATTATTATCACAAACTTTCAATATAATTTTTATACAAAACAACCCTTAAAACAGGTTAGAAACACCAAAAGGTTAAAAGACTCAGTCAATAAGGCGACAGGTTGCCAGAACACCAAAACAAATTACCAATTATGTACTACGATCAAGAAGGAACAAGAACAAAACAAAATGCTTAATTAATAAAAGCTGATTAATGAGGTGACGTTGATGGATAGGAACGTGTATTAATTATTTAATTTTGAAAGTTGTTGGTAGCAAGTGTGAAGGCGGGGGATAAGACGGGCTGGAACTTTAAGCTGTTCCTTTCAGAAGTTCCGTTTAAGTTCGAGAGAACTAAGTCGCTGAGATGACCTTTTTAATATGGTTGGATTATGCAATAGCAAAGTTGGAGGGAAATATGTTTGAAGTAGTTTATTTGTGTAGTTTGAAAGATTCATGTTCCAAATTTGGATAGAGTTACATTTCTAGAATGTTTTGACGTTTCCGTTACTTACGTTTTACATATAAAGTGGTTTTTATTTTTTACTGGAAATAAACTAATTGGTATCTATATCTGATCTGAAATGATTAGATGATATAATAATTAACCTTATCATAACTTAGGATTTCATTGGAAAACTTGAAAATTCAGTCATGTAGCTAGGTTCACACTACTAGAATACCGAACAGTTGCCATTTTCTGTCGAACGGTAGTGCTTTTTGAGAAAAAATTGAATATTTCGAAAAGTGTGAACAGAATGCCAATCAGTATAATTATTGTTCAACCCTTGCAGTGACATAGCATAGCCATCGTTCGCCAGCTACCATCAAGTTGTAACGTGGTCAGGGGGCCGGCCCCGTGGGCTAACACGTAAACAATCTCGTAGTTAAATGGTGGAGAGAAATAGATAGATAGATAGGTACTCTTTATTGTACACTATGGATAGAAAACATACAATGCAATATAAACAGAAAAAAATAAAAAACAGTGGTACAATGGGCGGCCTTATCGCAGTCTGCGATCTCTTACAGGCAACCTTTAGATGGACTATACTGTATATACCCGTGGTGCGCATACCTAGTATCACATTAACAACCTTTAATAGTCCACCCCTGGACATAAGCCTCTCCTTAGAATAGATTTACAAAATTACATATTTATACACATAAGTACATTCATATAAATACACACATACATACATTACAAACCTACATATATAACACATAGTTCTTACAGAGATAAATAGTGATCCTTGACGAGTCATATAAAAGACTCAAAATTATACAGTCAAAACCTCCTGCCATTTGTAGGGGATCTATTACTATTTCTGCACATAGCTAATCTATATTTCAACATACCTGCACCCGGCCAGAAGGACCTGGCGATACATCTCCACAGAACTCTTGCCACCGAACTGTCTTCCAGACAGATAAGTGTTGTGTGATGAGTTAATGTAGTAATGGGCTAGGGGCTGGTCCATGTCCATATAGTTGTCCAACCGGTCCAGGAATACTGGAGCGTTCTCATCCGACATGAGATAGCGAATCAGCCCGTCCTTAGTGAGGCATTCTAGAATGAAAATGGAGAGGTGAAATAGGGTTGTGCCTTTGCCGTTGATTAAATGGTTTGGCGCTTATAGAATTAAGAAGGTTGTATGAGGAGGAACACAACGTAGAGCGACAAGATTGGTCCTCTAGTAGTAGATTATTATGAATTAATTATCATAATCTAAATAAAATGGTGAATTATTAAATTCAGCTGATGATAGAACTTCAACTTAATGATTCTGTTCTAATCTTATTTATGTTATCTACTGTTTTTATAAATATGGATGGCAATATTGTGATATAAGTAACTTTAAGCCTAGCCTGGATTAATTATATATTTACACATACCTAAATAATTATTCCAGCCTAGTCTTACTCTAAATAAATAGAATTTGCGATACAGTATTTTTGGTATATGGGGGAAAACAAGCCACTTGATGGTTAGTGACTACAGCCGAACATGAGTTACGTGCGTCGCAGCCCTTGAGTGGCCCCCCCCCCCCCCATGCCCATATTTCCGAATTTATTTCTTTAGTATTACTTACTGTCAGTCTTAGCTTCCTCGTTCTGTTCGTAAGTGTTGATGATCTCAGCTGCTCTCTTCTCGTCGTACAGCGGGTACAGAATCTCGTTGAGTCGAGGATCACGCTGTTTTTCGTTCAGGAAATTCACGAACTGCTCCAAGTTGATGCGGTCTGATTTCCCTTGAGTTCTGTGAACGTATTATTTTATGAACTTATATGATTAAATTGCAAATTTCCTTATGGTAAAGGCTTGTATAATGTTATTAAGGCTTAAAGTGAATTGAATATTAGAATTAAGTCTAACATGTGGAAATTCAACCGAAACAGCTCGTCCCGCTTTTTGAAGATTAGGCGATCCTTACCGCCCCCATCCTACCTATGAACAGGCGATTCCTTTATAATTTGTTTACGAAACGAGGACGAAAGAGCAGACATGTTGAGTGAAGGTAACTGGCTGCCACACCACCCATGCACACTTACAATACAAGAGACGTAAGTGCCTTTAAGTGCCTCCGCCATAATTAGGCGGGTGTCTGAAGGGGGTGGACTATCTAAGATGATCATTAATTAATTATTTGAAATGGTTAAAATCTTGCACTGACTACGACCATGTCAAATATTAGATAAAATAAATATTGGAATCATTAAAATTGGCGTATTATCGTAACGTAACATTCTAATTACTATAATAGTATTTGTAGGTAAGTTGGTGGGACTTTACAAACATATTTAAGTTTTATTAAACACTAGCTGACCCGCGCAACTTCGTCTGCGTCTCTCAATAGTAATAAATTTTCACGGTTTTTGAAACATTCTTCATTGCTGCTCCGCTCCTATTGGTCTTAGCGTGATGATATATAGCCTATAACCTTCCTCGATAAATGGGCTATCTAACACTGAAAGAATTTTTCGAATCGGACCAGTAGTTCCTGAGATTAGCGCGTTCAAACAAACAAACAAACAAACAAACAAAACAAACAAACTCTTCAGCTTTATAATATTAGTATAGATAGACTTCGTAACAAATTAATTCAGGATTCTCCACGAATAAATTAAAAACTCCTGAACGTTACATTGATTGACATAATTCCGAATTTCGAGCAAAAAAGTTACATTGATTGACATAATACCGAATTTCGAGCAACTGCAAATTGGGTTGGGTTTAGGAAACTTAGATATGTAATAAGTATTCAATAAGCGAAAAAATAGATAGGTAATTTGACCAGAATTTGACCAGATTCTCTCTAAGTATAGATTTGAACATTCGGATTGGAGAGCCTTTTGTCTGGAGCAGTTGTCGATACTCCGCTTTACATGACCTGTTTTTACAAATAATGCAGTTAGCTTAGCTTTTATTAATTAAACATATGCATTAAATAATCTGGTAACTACTCGTTGAAGCTTACATCAATTTGTAAGGAGAGGTGGTTGTCACAACTATTTGTTGAGTTGTTTTGAATTTTAGTGGCACGTAATAGCGGATGAGTTAATGAGTTTACCGTTCACTTTTGGAATAAAACGAAATAATGTTATGTCCGACCCGGAAATCAGATCTAGGATTCATGATCACACATAAGAACAAATTTATGCCTCAAAACAGATAAGAAAATTCAACATAAATGTTTATAATTGAACTTAATACTCACATAGACCGAAACAGCTCTTCAATATCATTCCTTGGACAGATCTTATGGTACAGAGCGTAGAATTTGTCGAAGGTGAACGCCTCCTTTTCCATTGCTTCATTCTTGCCTGATGGCAGTCCCAACTCTGATAAACACTGGTAGACCAGCTTCTCAGTTTTGCCTGACGCAAATGTTCTGGCCACAACTTTGACTGGCACCTTTCCTCGAGGGTCCGTGAGGAAAGAGAGGCGCATCCAACTGGAAAATTGTAGTGATTAGTTTAGGGTACGACGTTATCAAATTGAGTTACACTTATAAGGTGGCAAAATTATAGACCTTAGGGCGGGTGAATGGTTAGCAATGATGAGATTATTCGAATATGACTAAAAATGTGTGATATTGTAAGTTATTTACAAAAGTTAGTTGCATGAATGCTGGTATTAGTTCATCTGAAGATGTGGTTAATATGTGAATGAACATATTGTGTGCATATACATATGTATATGCACACAATATTATGACATATATATTACATACATTATGTTTATTCACATTTTATGTACACACAATACAATAACTGAAATGTATTTACATATTTTTGATGCGTTGGCTATTAAAAAATGAGAATCTTTTACCGTAGCACAAGGCTTCTAGTTCTTCTACCATAGTTAATATAAACACGGGACTATTCAACCAAAATTTCAGAAATAATGGTGTAGCACCTAAAATTTGCTAGCTCATGCTGCATGCTCAAATAGGAGGTCATTTAAATGCTTGTAGGAGTGCGGGAGTGTAATTAATATTTAGTCAAACTATCAAACCATAAATATGCATATATAGGTACTGGAGGGGCTACAGTTACTAATATTCATGAAAAGTAACTAACAAAGTACCTACTATAAAATATTAAAATAACAAAAAAGTAAACAAGCGATCATTATAGAGAAATACACATACAATAAAAACGGACGTGTTGGTCTCGACGGGCCAGTTGGTTTAGTGGTTAGTGACCCTGACTGCTACGCCAGAGGTCGTGGGTTCGATTCCCAGCCAGGTCAAATAACTGTGTGATGAGCACGGTCATTTGTTCTGTGTCTGGTTGTACTTTATCTATAATATGTATGTATTTCGAAAATATATAAGTACGTTTATCAGCAGTCTGGTTACCACAGTACAGGCTCTGCTTAGTTTGGGATCAGACGGCCGTGTGTGAAATGTGTAAAAAATAAAAAAAAACATATAGTGAAAACAAACTAAACTTCTGATTGTGTATTGCGCTATGAAAGTCATCATCATCATCAACAGCCCCCTGCTGGACATAGGCCTCTCCTTAGAAAGAAGGTTTTGGCCTACTATACTACGCTGGCCAGACGGGTTGGTATAGGATTTGTTTCAAGTTTTCCTTCTCTTTACAGTACTTCGTAATTTCCTCCTTTAGTCGGCTCTTACGACAACCATGGGATAAATAGAGGTGGTGACACTCCGTATCCTTAATCCGTCACCACACGACTAGAAAGGCTATGAAAATACAACAACGTCAACTGCCGGGCAGCGGTTCGTCCAGCACGACTACCTAACCTGGTAGGAGGATACTCCCTTTGTGATGAAGGAATCACACACGTTCCTACAAATTCTAACTGAAATTGTGGCTAGAAACTAAACCTTCTCTTTTAAACGCTTACATTTAAATTTAAGTTCAAAGCTGTGAGAAGCTGTTTCTACTAAATCTACTAAATCATATTAACAGCAATAATAATCTTCTCTTAATCTCCTATCAAATGATTCCGCCATGATTTTATATATTGATTCTCCTAACATTTATTTTTCGTTTGGAGTCAAATGGCGTAAAATGAAAATCCCTTTTTAATGATCAGGTAGCCTCTTTGGGAATGTTTTATCTTTAATGGCAATTCTGATTATATCGGCCATATTTTATAGAAAGCATTTAGTTATTACTTGACCTGGAAACTTCAATTTAATCATCGTAAATCTATAGTTATCGTGATACCATTGTGCTTTTAGTATAGCGAGGACTGCGTTGTACGTCGTCTTGTCGTTTTGTAGACGATTATTGATAATTTTAATTTAAATATGCTCTAGTCATAAACTACATTATTTTTTCACTTAATTTAAATTAAAGATGAAATTAACTGGAAACCTGTAATGGCAGGTATTTATTGCGTATATAAATATAATTTACGTCAATCAGAAACAAGAAAAACAAGAATAAAAGTGTTCTAAGTCTCATAAAAATTACTATTTAAATATATTTTTAGAAGTGTCTTTTGTAAACTACACACGTTTTGGGTAAATGAAATGTGTAACAGGGGTTTAGGCGAGTTTTTTTTATAGCCGGCCGCTTGTCTGGCGCAAAACCTGCTTGAGAATTAATAAATCGTTTTCAGGCGGGATTAAAGTAAAAGGTAACGTAAACGTAACGTAACGTAAAGGGCTAGAGGGGTACGCGGTACTTCAAGTCTCGGACGGGGAAATGGGACTGAACTACAGTAGCTAGTAGTCAAGGTCACGTATCCGTATTTCCGTCCTGTGATTGGAGAAGCCACTAGTGGATATCGACTAATAATACAAAGATCAAGACTTATCTTTAAATTTAAAATGTGAAACATGTCAAATCCAATTAAATACTTAAGTTACTTTTTTTTAAAGAGACAGTTTTCAGTTCAGTTTTTATGTTCAGAGATAGTCAGAGTCAGTTTTGACGGGCCTGTTGGTCTAGTGGTTGGTGACCCTGACTGCTAAACCGGAGGTCGTGGGTTTGATTCCCACCCAGGACAAATATTTGTGTGATGAGCACGATCGTCTGTTCTGTGTCTGGGTGTAATTTATCTATAATATGTATGTATTTAGAAATATATAAATCTGTTTATCAGCGGTCTGGTTACCATAGTACAGGCTCTGCCTAGTTTGGAATCAGACAGCCGTGTGTGTGATGTAGCAATAAGAATATATCCTGTGTCGCGGGTGACTTTACAAACATACATGAAACGGACACAAAGAAAACACAGACTCAGAACAACAATTTGTGGAGCACACAAAGAGTTACTCCATATGGGTATCTAACCACAACACAGCGCAGTAGAAAGCGGCGAGGTGAACGCTTAAACCACTAAGCCATGCGTGCAGTCTAGACTGGTTATCTTCTATACATCTATACAAATAAATAAAATTGGAGTGTCTGTTTGTAATATTAAAATAACGGTTTTTTACTAAATGCATATGTATGTTTACACGGTACATATGCCAAAATATATTATATACAAATAAATAAAATTGGAGTGTCTGTTTGTAATATTAAAATAACGGCTTTTTATTACTAAATACATATGTATGTTTACACGGTACATATGACAAAATAACATTTTTTATAATTTTTGTCTGTCTGTCTGTTTGTTCTGGGTAATCTCTGGAACGGTTGGACCGATTCCGACGGGACTTTCACTAGCAGATAGCCGATGACATAAGGAGTAACTTAGGCTATTTTTTTTACTTTACTTTACTTTACTTTTTTTTACTTTTTTAGACTAGCTTCGCCCCGCAGCGTTGCCCGCGGTTATAACAACAAACGCGGGTAACACCGCGGGTCTCAGCTAGTACTAACTATAATGCAACGATCAAGACTTATCTAAAACTTATAATGTGAACCATATCATACAATTAAATACTTAATTTTAAAATACAATTTAATGCGGTCGATGACTATCACACATTTTTGTACGAAATACTAAGGTGTGACGTCATAACTAGCTATTTTCACTATTGAATAACGCCATTTTATTAAACTTGACTGGTTTCACCTGACAGCATTTTCAAAGGGTACTATGACAACTACTTTGTAAGTAATATAATAATATAATATTGTACCACATTCACACAACGCCATCTGGTCTCATACTAAGCAGAGCTTTTACTATGGGTACTAGACAACTTTTATAAATACATATATACTTCGTGTTTTTTTTGTAAATTCATACATATTATACATAGAAACACCCAGACCAAACCAAACATTAAATGTTCATGCACATAAGTGTTAGCCATGAGCGGGAATTGAACCCGCCACCTTTGGAATAGCAGTCCGTTACACAAACCAAGTGTTTTAATAGTCTCATCATCATCATCAACATCCTTTACTAGTACACTGCTGGACATAGGCCTCTCCTTAGAAAGGAGGTTTTGGGCTACTAGTAGGTATATGTATAGGTAATAGTCTCAAATAATTTATATTTAATGTTAATTTGAAGATATAAAAATAATAAAAGCATTAAATGGAGGACACTTCAGAATCATTAAATGTAACATCTTATTGATACATTAAATGATTCAATCGAAATAATAATATAATATAATATAATAATAATATTTTCACACATCTCACACACGGCCGTCTGGTCCCAAACTAGGCAGAGCCTGTACTATGGTAACCAGACTTCTGATAAACATATATATTTCTAAATACAACCATATTATAGTTTACACAGAACAAATGACCGTGCACATCACACAATATTTGTCCTGGGTGGGAATCGAACCCCACGAACTCTGGCGTAGCAGTCAGGGTCACTAACCACTAGACCAACAATCAAATAATTCATTTCAAATCTAGGCATCTACCCTATTCGTAGCGTTTTACAGAAAAATAATAGTGTGATTCACGTCCAATACATAAGAAGTCGTTATACATGATTTATGGCTGTGCTTTAACCTCCTAAATTAATTGGGTTGAAAGTTAATCTATTTAATGGCTACAATCGTAGAGAGTGCGGTGCCCGCGATTCCTAGTAAAGGTAGGGCATTTGACTAACCCCAGATGTGTATTTAACTTGCTATTTATAAATGGTTTAAAGATTTGGAGTAATAGTTATGAACTACAGATCGCATTTCGACGTCTTATATCTCTTGTTTTGATTTCATTTATCATTAGGGTATAACTGGACACCAGGGACTTCCTTTCTAGGGTATACCTGGTTCCCCGGCTATTAGTACCCGAGACGGCGTGCGGTTTTAGTTGGTTCGAGTCCGACATGCCACCGACAGGTGGTATCCGAGGGGATTTCCGCACGGAAAAAAAAAGGGTATAACTGGAACCACAGAACAGTGATTTGAACTGTCTTTGTATAGATGTAGTGGTTTGTGTAACGGATGCTATTTCTTTTTGTTTTTTCGACTGGCCTGTTGGTCTAGTGGTTAGTGACCCTGACTGCTACGCCAGAGGTCGTGGGTTCGATTCCCACCCAGGA